TAAATTGGGGGGAAAAAAGTCTTGTTAACCCTGGATAGTAGAAATAATACCTTAAAGAGCCATTCAACCTTGTGTATTGGTAAGAGTCTAGTTTAGATCTATGTTTTAGAATAAAAAAAATTCTTACTGAGATCAAGTATATAGATTGTGGACTTAATAGTTTTGGTTTAAATATATTGATGTAGAAGTAGTCTTGTTTTTATTATAGAGAAGTGGTAAGTGTAAAAATTGTTTCTCCATTACAGCCAGAGAGGTTTGTTAACCTTGGCATTGAGCCTCCTAAGGGTGTGCTGCTCTTTGGCCCACCGGGTACAGGCAAGACACTCTGTGCTCGGGCTGTTGCTAACAGGACTGATGCTTGCTTCATTCGAGTTATTGGATCTGAACTTGTGCAGAAGTATGTCGGTGAGGTAAAGTAAACTGATCATAATCAAAGAATATGTAGCTCTGATTCATAAAGCATAGGTGAAATCAAAATGGCAATTCCATATTTGAAGATTGAGGCCTGAAATGTTTTGATTGATGGGTACTAATTAGAAGTTTAGAAGACAACCAGCCTTCCCTTGTGGTCATTTGGAAATAAACAACTGCCAACATTTTAAATCCGTTTGCTCCCTACTTAGAAGGATGACATTTTCTACAGATTTGGTTTGTAAAATAACTATCCCAGAAATACCTAGTGAATGCATTCAGAAGTGTATTCACTTCAGGAGCAGTGTTCTATGTTCCTTTGAGAAAGAGAATAGAGATTATCTGTATGTATGTGCCTGGGTGTATACACACACACACGAATGTTGTTTTTCATTAGAGAATAAGTCTAGGGCTGAGTATATTATATCCGAAACATTAATGATTAGTATACTTACAATGAGAATTAGAAAAGGATCTACAGGAGCTGAGATACACCTTTATTCCCTGGTCAGAACTTACAAATCACATTCAGTGATCAGAAATGCCCAGCAATAGATCAGATGCTTTTATTTTCTCAAGTTTTATTGATTGAAGTGGTGCTTTTATTTTATTTAACTGTGTTAATTTGACCTATTCAGGTCTTAAAGTTATTGGCTATTTAATAGATACAGAATCATTAAATTAATACTGTTTTAAAAGGTTGAGGATACTGTTAGGAATACTGAAAAGTTTAAAGCATAACTTTCTACTATATTTTAAAAGATTTTAAAGCCAACCCTGAATTAACAATTATTTTTGTCATTAGGGGGCTCGAATGGTTCGGGAGCTCTTTGAAATGGCCCGAACAAAGAAAGCCTGCCTTATCTTCTTTGATGAAATTGATGCTATTGGAGGTATGAGTGTTATCTTCAAGAACTAGTTTTGGGCTGGGTTTCATGAGAATTCTGTCATAATATGTGTAGAGTTCCCCTGATATGTTAATCTTATATGAACTTTGTCTTTTTTTTTTTTTTTTTAAATTGAAGTATAGTTAGTTACAGTGTGTCAGTTTCTGGTGAACAGCATCATGTCCCAGTCATACATATACATACATATATTCCTTTTCATTATAGGTTTCTTGTACGAAATTTTAATTCCAACTCTTTTATGAGTTTTGGCACATCAGAGCACAGATCTGATAAACAGTAGGGCTACACCATAAAGGAAAAAAGCACGTAGCATTGCTGTTTCTCAAAGTCTTTGTACTTTCCTCATTTCATTCATAGGTCACATACATTTTTTACATTTTAGCAACTTCTTACTTGCCATGCAGCTTCACTTAATAGGTTAAAGCACTGGGACATAATTTGGTGATAGTTTTTCATAAAGTACACATAAAATAATACCGGCTTCTTAGACTTGATGAACAGAGTGTCAGCTGTGCAATCTAGGCAAGTTATTTTAACTGAGCCCAGTTTGCTCATCTTGTAAAAGGAATGATAATTCCTGCCTTGTTTATTTCATGGCTTGAGAGTGAGAGGTAGGTAATAAATGTGATAGACTTTGAAAACTCTAAAATGTTGTATAGGCCTTGGCCGTTGTTAGTCTGTTAAAAGTAATAATCCTGCAGAAGTGGCGTATGTCCAGACAGTTGTTATTTAATGAACTTAATGACAAAAAAGGTTTACAACTATAGTGGATGCTGGAACACTGTCCGGGGACTGTGGTGAGGTTACCTAAGTCTTGTTTTAAGACTGTATGGGCTTTGTGGGCTCTAGACACTCTGTAGTCAGTGTTTTCAAGGCCCATAATTTGACCACAGTCTGTCAGTGCAGTGTTGTGACCCTGAAGTCCTTTTTGTAGTATGACTGGAGTAAGCTTTATGATATCAGGATGCTCTGTGAAACCATGTTTTCCAAAAATGGATTGTGTATAAAACAGTATTTGGGTACAGGAAGAAAATACTGGAATTTTCCCTCATATTTAATCTTTTAAATTTCCTTTATTTGTATTTTATAATGTATGTGATATATTAATAAAACACTATGTACTTATATAATGTATAAATGAAAATATATATTTGGAGGCCTTTTTGGGGGAACTATTTTGGTTGAAATGCAGAAGAGTATTGACATTAACCTAGAGTATGCTAATATATTCAAATCAGTGAGATAGGAAGCTGTACATTTCTGCTGTATTGTGGATTTAGCCATATTTTTAAGGACAGTTTTGAGAAATCTAGAGGGGTATGGCAGTTTCTTACATATAATCAAATGCCATTATAGTGCTAAAGCTTGTATGTATTTTGTTGCCTTGTTTAGCTGTACATTGTGTTAAACTATGGAGGTGTTTTTGAGTGACTTAACAAAATTCCTTAAAGAGGATTTAAAAAAATACTTTAAAGGAACCTATGTTAAATAAACCTACAAGTTCTTTCTAATTAGTTTTTTGTAAAGCAGCAGTTCTTACATGATTTGCTTAAAACTAAACCATTCATTTAGGCTGGGCTAGGGTGGGGCCTGACCTGGATCAAGACTTCCCATGCAGCGCTGCTCTGAGGGAACATGAAGAGTGTATCTTTCCTCTTGTCTTCTCAGGGGCTCGTTTTGATGATGGTGCTGGAGGCGACAATGAAGTGCAGAGGACGATGTTGGAACTGATCAATCAGCTGGATGGTTTTGATCCCCGAGGCAACATTAAAGTGCTCATGGCCACAAACCGGCCTGACACTCTGGACCCAGCCCTGATGAGGCCGGGGAGATTGGACAGGAAGATTGAGTTTAGCCTACCTGATCTAGAGGTGGGAAAACCACTTCACTGGAGAAAAGAGATTCTTAAAATTTTTTCTTCCTGTGATGTTTTCCATTTTAATATTTTTCAATTCCCTTATTTTTAGGGTCGGACTCATATTTTTAAGATTCATGCCCGCTCAATGAGTGTTGAAAGAGATATCAGATTTGAACTGTTAGCACGACTGTGTCCAAATAGCACTGGTAGGTTGAAAGGTATTGCTTCCATATGCTGGTCTGTCTGTTCCAGCTGCTTTAATTAAGCCTGTTACTTTGTTTTTGTTTGAAAGGTGCTGAGATCAGAAGTGTCTGCACAGAAGCTGGTATGTTTGCCATCAGAGCACGGCGAAAAATTGCTACTGAGAAGGATTTCTTGGAAGCTGTAAATAAGGTCATTAAGTCCTATGCCAAATTCAGTGCTACTCCGCGCTATATGACATACAACTGAGTCCAGCAGTGTTCGTGAAAACACTTCTTTTCATTGGAATTCTAACCTTATACAGACTTCTTAACAACCATTTCACACACACAAAATAAATGGTTTCAAAACTGTATGCTTTTTTTTTTAGCTGTCTTTTCTCTGTAGTGCAAACAAGGCTAATATCCAATGTCATTAACAGAGAAGCTTATTACATAATGTATGTTAACTATTTTTTGATCCACTAACATTTAAGGGTTCTAAATGTAAAGTGCTTGCTTTGACCACATATGTTCTAGGCATACGCTGGCTGGATGCTTTACATATATTATCTCACTGCCTCTTCCCAGTGAGGTGGATTTAATGGATGCAGAATTTTCCTACCTGACTTCCTTGTAGCCGAGCTGGGATTCAGGTCCCTGTATGTCAGCTCCATCACCTATGCTCCTTATCCGTTATGCTCCTCTGTCCTCATCAGAATGGCCCATCTTGGCACAGGATCACATTTGTTTCCATTTTTTTCCTACAATGTTGAATAATATTGTTTGGCCAGACTGTTTTTAAAGTGTAAGAAGTATTTGATGTAGTATGTTGTGCTTTGCCATCTAAGTTGATTTCAAATCAGTCAAAAATTATTGATTTTAACAACTAGTGAAGTAATAAAGCAGAAAGAAAAGTATTTACACGTAATAATCTAATTTAGAAAATCCAGAATTGGTCTGACCAAGGAAGTGAAAGACATATGTGGAGAACTACAAAACACTGACTAAGGAAATTAAAGACTTAAAGAAATGGAGAACACTCCCTCACACCATACACAAAATAAACTCAAAATGGCTTAAAGACTTAAACTTAAGACACTATAAACCTCCTAGAAGAAAACGGGCAAAACATTCCGATACAAATCTTAGCAACGTTCTCCTAGGGCAGTCTACCCAGGCAACAGAAATAAAGGCAAAAGTAAACAAATGGGACCGAATTAAACTTACAAGCTTTTGCACAGCAAAGGAAACATAAACAAATTAGGAGTTCAAGAACTTACGGTAAAAAAGAATATGAAAATGAATATATGTTCACATATGACTGAAGCATTGTGCTGTACACCAGAAATTGACAACACTGTAAACTGACTATACTTCAATAAAAATATACACAGAAAATCCATAATTGGCTTCATACAGAGAAGTACTTGCTTTCATTTTATAAATTACTAGTTTTAAGATTTTGGTTAAGCTCCTGGTGGACTTCTGGTCTATAGTGAGGTATTTCTAAAGTAAAAGTTGTATTAGAATCCTAAACAGATCTCTTTAAAATTATTTCTTGTACAACCACCACCAAATTCCCTCCATTCTTCCTCCACAATTAACCGTTTCCAGGCTCTCCCCCAAACACTGAGACCCAAACACAATAAAGAATATTTTTATTGCAGTTCAATATTCACAAATAAGTAATGCAAAATAGAGCTGGATACACTTTAATTCACAAAAGAAAAAGCTGACACAGAGAAAATGTAAGTGTTGCACTGATGTATTTAAAACATGAAAGTTTTCAAGCAGAAAAATTAAAACCATTCATAAAATCCAACATCTTTTCTTGACTTCATTTTTGTGAAACTGATAAAATTTTTCCTAAGCCTAGTTTTTCATGAGGTATGAAATAAAGTGACATAGTTCCAGGTTACACTTATAATATATTCAACTGAATGACTAAAGGTGTATGTTTTTGTACTATTTTGATAAATGTAAGCATTGAGAACATATGCCTTGAAGTCTTAGCACTTTCTCATAGCCACACACATCACACGTACCAATCTGAGGCAACACAAATTGGATATTTTGAGCTCACTCAGGCCTAACATGTCATAGGCTCTGAATCATCTTGACATCTCAGTCACATGATTAAAATCTAACTGGTCACAATGAAATAAATGTACAATGGCTTATTTGAAAAATCTTGAGTGTTTCTGCCTGGGCATGTGTAAACAGATGGAATTAACACTATCTAGATTAACATCTCTGTACCCTATTCAAAAAGAAAAAATAGACATTCACTTGTAACTCCCTGCACCTAAAATGTGTGTGTATATACATGTGCATATGTGTATGTATAGACACACGTGTTTAAACATGTATTGGGGTACTGATAAATCAGAATACAGAGTTTGTGACTAGAAAAATACTGCAGTGATCCTTTAAAAAACACTTTAAAAGTGTGATTAGATTTATGAAAACTTAATTTCCACAAGCTCAGGTTCATCTGTGATATCAAGTTGAAATGCTATACACCAGTACAATGAAAAACCTGGTAAGCCTTTTTCAAAGGCAAGACAGGTTTTTGAGATGCTCAAACCTGATTAGATTCAAGTCAGTCAGCAGGCAGGTTACCTGGTGCAGTCCTGGCTTTTGAACATTCCGTTGGGATTTAAGGGATTTCGAAACCATTGCATGCATTTTGGTTGGCTATATGTTTAGAGAATTAAATAATACATTTATCAGTCCTCAGACCAACTTTTACCAGTTCTCAACCCATATGATCAAGAATCTAAACAAACTGAATCCTAAAAGCATTCCTAAAAGGTACACTAAAAAGAACCAACAGCATTTTTGCACTCACTAAAGCATACAGACTCACACCAAGGAGCAAACTGCCCCAAAGGGGCAGACATAATAGATAAAGTCTTCCTCACCACATACCCTTCCCTCACTCATCCCCACACAAGGGCACCCCCCAATTCCCAAACACAGAACAACACACCTACCCACTGCAGGGCAGATTCTCTGGGTTGCTACCCTCTCCATGCACACACGAGGGCAGTCTCATTTTCTCAACATGTACCTTTGGAGGCAGACACCTCCTTTCTCTGTTAAATAGGTAAGGATACAGGATCAAACCACATGGACTGGACAAAGAGATGTTACCTGCAAACTACAAAATGAGCTTCTCCCAGGACTTGCAGGGGATTCATACCCCTCACTTTCTCTGAGTCCCACTGCAGATGTGGTTGGCAATTGGGATCCCACTCTCAGCTGCTGTATGATTATAGAGTCAGTGTCGGTGACATGAGTTAGGAATTTCTTGGGCCCTGGGGCACAACGGTTTGCCAACATATTCTACCCATCCATGAGGCAGAGGTCAACCATGGTCACAATGCATAGGATTTGAGAAAGACAACTTCACTTTATGGGAACTTTCTGAAAATAGGGCTTTCCTATACTGCCATAAATAAGGCTAGTCTAGTCCCTCTATCCATCAGTGTGGATTCTGATAGGGCAATGAGAATCTGAATTTGAACCAGGGCCGAAAAACATAGACATATAGTAGCAGCTGCTAACATCCAGGAAGGAGGTAGAGACAAAACTTGATCCTAGGTAAAAAAGGTCAGGAAATTTCCTTCCTATATGAAAATTCTAAGCAAAACATTCTAAACATATTTACATTTAGATAAAATAAATTTTGAAATGCACTCTTACGTTCTCAGAGGCATACTGAAACAAAAACATACTTCCCCTCAGTAGGACTTAAGTGCTTTTTATGTACATGGTAGAATTCTATTCAAAATAGGTGAAAAATTAAAGGACGGAAAAGTTAAATACAAATTGTAAGCTACAGACAAGTACTTTTTTGTTTACTACTTTCAATCTATCAGCAACCAGAACTTGCGTATGTGCTGTATGTAAAGCATTTGTTAAAGACTGCTGCTGAAAAATATGCAATGACGTATTGAATAACATTGTTTAAAGTTGTTCAGTTCTACATTAATGGCTGAAATGATGCAAGCCCTTTTATAAAAGTTTCTAGTGTAAGCTGAGGTCCTACAACTACATGCTCTTTCAGAAGGCAGTCTGTATCAGAATGCAGATGTACCTGATCTTGTGTGTGACGGCTGCAAAGGAAATAACTGGATGCAAATCTAGTTTCTGGACGCTAGGTCCAGACAATGTATTAATTAGAAAGGAGGGGGTCTACTTTGAATTAGATTACTAAAGTCACTGAGAAATGTGATAGGAGTTAAAGCAAACAAACCGTAGGGTTTGGTTTGGGGTGGACCCATGTTAGCCTAGTTCTTTCCTGATACACTTTTCTCCTGAAGTGTTTTCTTCATGAAAACTAAAACAAGGAGTCGATAAGGAAACACATTAAAAAAAAAAAGACAAACTATTAGCAGGAAATCTTAGCAGATGAGACTTTGGGCAGGTTGGTTTATACTTGTGCTGTGATCTGGAATGGGCTGGTGGTTAGGACTGCAGGAGCAGGAACTTCTGATGACAAATTGGCTTAAAGGTCTCCCCACTCCTGAACAACTACAGAGAGTGCTTGAAATAGTACTGGCTCACTCATCGGCTTAAAACTGAGTATGATGAAGAAGTAACTGATAACTCTATAGACCTCTAAGGAGGGTATTAAAGTAGACCTAGTAGTTAGTTTTCTAAAATACATGGTCTTAAATGCTATTTCACTATTAGCAACAACAACAAAACTTCTGGGGGCTCCTGCTGGCCACAGGTATGACAATTTGACCACCAGAAAGAATAACTATAAAGGACTGAAACATATTAAAAGTATAAAAAATTCATGAGCCTATAATCACAACAAAAAGAAATCTAAAAGAACCTAATTTGTCACCTTCTATTAAATCAACTCCTTAAAGTCGGTAATTAAACAAACAAACAAACAAACATTTAACCTGCCTTTACAGTAAGAACTGTATTTAAAGGTGACCAAATAGCTCAAGCTAAGGCAGGAAAGCTATAGTTTACATAGAAACACTAACTAATTAATGCAAAAGAAATGAGAGAATTGGGAAAAAAATACAGAAAGCTCACAATTTCTGATTTAGGCAAGGATTATCACCAGCTGTTAAAACCCCTGGGTGAATGGTTAATGGGGAACTGGACCTTCATTCAATGCGAAAGGAACACCATACAGACAACTCACTAGTCACAAAGGACAAAATGTAACTGGGGGATTGGTTGTCACTATCTCAGCACTGTTACTGGTAGGTGAACTAGATATTACTTCTGTTTTCTGCTGTGATGTGATTTCAGGCTTGTGTCTCATCTGTGATATATTCTAGCAAAAATGTTTTACTCAAATCTGCAAAGCCTTTAGTTAGATGTAACTTCTAGATTACAGGTAGTTCAGGAAATAAAGGGACAAGCTAAATAACACCTTGAAAAAGCAGTGGACATGCTGGGATTCTACAGGACAACTGCCCAACTCCCTTTAACAAGTCAGTGTCATCAAAAAAGGGACAGTGCTAGATTAAGACAGATTTATGTGACTTCGGGGAACAAGTGTGTAGTGTAAGGCCACAGAATGAACACTAAAATTTAGACAAATCAACTAGAAATGCGAGGACAATTAGGGAAATTTGAATATGGTCTGAAATAAACACGCTCTAGAATGAGAAAGCAGATATTGTTGACTGAAAGAAACAGGTTACAGAACACTATGTAGAGTACGATCTTATTTTGTTTAAAAGATGTAAATATATATAACAGAAAAAGATCTGGAAGGATATGCATGAAGGTGTTAGCAATAAGCTCTTAGTGGTGGCCATGTAATTTGTTTTTCTTATTTTTGCTTGTCTGTCTTTTCTAATCTTCTGCTATCTACTTACATTGCTTCTATAACAATACGTGGTTATTTTAAAAGAGCTTTTAGAGAATCGTGGGTTTGCCCCCTCTGTGAGCTAACTGATTACAGAACGTCCATAGACCAAGAAATACAAAAGCAAAGCAGTATCACCCATCTGGTGGCAGCATCTCTGATCTGCAGGTAAAGTACTCTAAGGAAATCAATTCCTAAGTGCTTGGATTACAAAGAAAATACTAAAAAGTAACAGAAATACACAATAAAGGTGGGCAAGAGCTAATATCTTTGAAATAGTCAACTGAAGAAAAAAAAAAGTAAGATACATCTTGTGATGCGTCATTCACCCTCCAAATTAAGCCTGACTACTATGATTTATCCTTAGGGGGGACCATCTAGTGTCTAGTTTTAAGTGTGTGGGTTAGTAGGTTAGTAACTTCTTGAGAGGCTCCTACCCGATCCCAGGCTGAGCGCCTCATCTACGCCTCGGGAGTGGCATTGGGCTCGTTGTCCTCTGGGGGAGGAGCAGCCAAGGCCTCCTGTTCTGCCAGCGCCTCTCGCACTTGGCTGCCCAAGACCGCGTCGTGGATGCTGTGGAACAGCAGCTCCAGTAAGGCGGGATTTTCAAAAAATCGATTTCGACTGAGGTCATTCACAACTTGTGCTATAAAAGAAGAAAGGAAAATCAGTCCACACTATGGGCATCACTCTTAAACATTAAAAAAACAAACAAACTGAGTAACCCTTTCATATAGTTTAAATACTAAAATGATAAAATAGGGACAGGGTATA